AGAAAAAAGCCACAGGACTAAAGAAGCCCTTGGTCTAAGCTAGCAGGGCTTCTCTTTTCTCTTCTGCAGGTGAGCAATCCACTAAAAGCAATGGGGCATATAGACAGTACTCGCATAGGGATGCATGAGTGCTGAAATAAGGATAGGGCAGAAATTACTTCACATCTCATTTTAATACAAATTTATATAGTTTACATTTTCTGAATCAGTATGCACACTGAAATGCAGTTATATACTTCAGTATACACACTTCTCTGTATTTTCCAATGCAGTTTTCCGGTCAAAATACATGCCTACAAAATACATAGATCAGTGAAAATAACATACAAATCCATTTCTATTAGGGGAAAGTGCTTACAAATTATACAGTAGGCAAAATATGTATAGGAGGAGAAATGTACCTGAAAATGTGCAGACTGCAGACTGATGTGCAGACATTGTGCAGACATTGCAGACTGATGCTGAAATAGGAAGAAACAAACTTCACATTATAAAAATGAGGAAATAAGAGAAACCAAAATTGGATTTGTCAGTGCCTTGCTAGGTGGAAGGGATGCAGGTGGCGCAGTGGATTAAACTGCTGTGCTGCTGGGCTGGTTGATCAAAAGGTCGCCAGTTCGAATGTGCACACATGGTGAGTTCCCATTGCTCCATCCCAGCTCCTGCCAACCTTGCAGTTCGAAAGCATGCAAATGCAAGTAGATGAAAAGGGACCACTTCAGTGGGAAGGTAACCATGTTCCTTGCACCTCGGTGTTTAGTCATGCTGGCCACATGACCACGGAAACTGTCTGCGGACAAACGCTGGCTCCCTCTGCTAGGAAACAGAGATAAGCACTGCCCCCAAGAATCAGACATGACTGGACTTTAATGTCAAGGTAACGCCTTTACCTTTTAGCTAGGTGGAATGCTGCTTCACTGTTCAGCTGTTCATATCTTGATCAGGTTAAAAACATAGGAAGAGCCCTGCTGGATCAGGCCAGAGGTCCACTGATGCCAGCACCCTGTCCACACCTGCTGTCCACAGGAAATCCACAAGCAGGAGATTGGTGCAACGGCACTCCTGTCTCTGTTCCCCAGTTTGAGGGAGTCTGAGTCTCTCTCTTCTCAGAGGATTGGATGTAACAAAATAAAACAAGAAGAGAGGACCAAATTATAGGAACTGTGAACCTTTTCCCACAAGTTGTTGTTGTTGTTGTTAGTCGTGAAGTTGTGTCTGACCCATCGTGACCCCATGGACAACATTCCTCCAGGCCTTCCTGACCTCCACCATCCCCCAGAGTCCACTTAAGCTCACGCTGACTGCCTCAGTGACTCCATCTAGCCACCTCATCCTCTGCCGTCCCCTTCTTCTTTTGCCATCTATTGTTCCCAGCATTAGGCTCATCTCCAGGGAGTCCTTCCTTCTCATTAGGTGGCCAAAGTATTGAGTTTCATCTTCAGGATCTGGTCTTCTAAAGAGCAGTCAGGGTTGATCTCCTCTAAGGCTGATTGGTTTGATCGCCTTGCAGTCCAAGGGACTCGCAGGAGTCTCCTCCAGCACCACAATTCAAAGGCTTCAATCCTTTGGTGCTCAGCCTTCCTTATGGTCCAACTTTCACAGCATACATTGCAACTGGGAAAACCATAGCCTTGACTATATGCACTTTTGTTGGCAGGGTGATGTCTCTGCTGTTTAGTATGCTGTCTAGATTTGCCATAGCTTTCCTCCCCAGGAGCAAGCGTCTTTTAATTTCTTGGTTGCAGTCCCCATCTGCAGTGATCCTGGAGCCCAGAAAAATAAAACCTGTCACTACCTCCATTTCTTCCCCTTCTATTTGCCAGGAAGTGAGAGGACCAGATGCCATGATCTTAGTTTTCTTAATGTTGAGTTTCAAGCCAACTTTTGCGCTCTCCTCCTTCACCCGCATCAAGAGGCTCTTTAGTTCCTCTTCACTTTCTGCCATGAGAGTGGTATCATCTGCATATCTGAGGTTGTTGATATTTCTCCCAGCAATCTTAATTCCGACTGGTGGTTCATCTAGCCCCGTCTTTCTCATTAGGTGCTCTGCATATAAGTTAAATAGGCAGGGCGACAGTATACAGCCTTGCCGAACTCCTTTCTCTATTTTGAACCAATCGGTTCCGTGTCCAGTTCTCACTGTTGCTTCTTGACCCACATGTAGGTTTCTCAAGAGACCAATAAGATGGTCTGGTACTCCCATCTCTTTAAGTACTTGCCACAATTTGTAGTGATCCACACAATCAAAGGCTTTAGCATAGTCAATGAAGCAGAAGTAGATTTTTTTCTGAAACTCTCTAGCTTTCTCCATGATCCAGCATGTTGGCAATTTGATCTCTAGTTCCTCTGCCTCTTTGAAATCCTGCCTGTACTTCTGGTAGTTCTCGGTCCACATACTGCTGGAGCCTAGCTTGTAGGATTTTGAGCATCACTTTGCTAGCATGTGAAATGAGTGCAATGGTGCGGTAGTTTGAACATTCTTTGGCATTGCCCTTCTTGGGATCAGAATGTAGACTGACCTTTTCCAATCCTGTGGCCACTGTTGAGTTTTCCAAGTTTCCTGGCATATTGAGTGTAGCACTTTTACTGCATCTTTTAAGATTTTGAATAGCTCAGCTGGAATACTGTCACCTCCACTAGCTTTGTTACTGCTCAGACTTCCTAAGGCCCATTTGACTTCACATTCCAGGATGTCTGGCTCGAGGTCAGTGACCACCCCATCGTGCTTATCAGGGACATTAAGCTCTTTCTTGTATAGTTCTTTCCCCACAAGTAGCTATCTAATAATCACTGTGCTGATAAGAAAGCAAAATGCATATCAAAATACAGATACATATCTATGTATTTCATAATTAATATTGCTCATCTTTGGATAAATGTGAAGGATATAGTAGGAAAGCTAAAAAGAGAGGAGCTGTGCCTAGCTTTGTGGCTGCTGTCCAGTTTCTCTCCTGAAAAGGTAAATTAGAAGAAGAAAAATAAGAGATAATTAGAAAATTGTAACTTTAGCTATTAGTAAACTTATACTTTAGATCAGTGTTGGAAAAATCCTGTTACAGAGATTATTGTAATCGCTCAAAATCTGTCTTTTAGATCTATCTTGAAATAATAGTTGTTGACAAAGAGATATTGATTAATGAATTCTCTTTTAGGTCTAGCTAATGAAGCTTTATAGAGATTTGTTCAGGAGCTTGTTAAAAATGTGGAAAGGGAGTGCAGTGCTAGATGAGAGAGTGAGCACAAGTGTCTGTCGCATAGAAGAAAAACAAGATAAGATTTGTTTTGCAATACCAGCTAATCTGTATTTTTTTTAAAAAAAAATGTTTTGTACAATATGTTCTTCATGAGGCTTCTTGGTCCAACAAAGAACCAAGAAAATTAATAGGCTTTCTGTTTGTTCTCAAAAGCTCAACTCTTGTCAGGTCACAATCCGTTTAAAGATTCATACCTTGTATTATAAAGTTATGTTCTAAATAGCTAAGAATTATGGAGAACTTTTCACTGCAAGGCTCAGTCCTGATATTCTATACTGGTTGGGCTGGCTGCTGATAGTAGCCGAGTTGGTGCACAACAAGAAGCCACCAAGGGTGATCTTCCTGGTGGGTTGCTGCCACTTTAATTATTTGGGGTTCTTATTCCATCGGAAGCTGTTGAGGGTGAGTTGTTAGAGGGATGACAGCCCCCAAATAGCCTATGGCCTGTCAGCTACCCCCAACAACCTCCCTTGATTGTGTGAACATTGCAAGGAGCTACAGCACACCTGCACCAGGTCCCAAATATTCCAGAGGGCAGTCATGGCCACAAGAAGAAACCCTGAAGGCAAATTCACCGATGGTGGCTTCTTGTGACATGTAAAAGACTATCATACAGGTAAGTTCTTACAGAGCAGCAGCAGAGGAAGCCTTGTCAGGCAGGAAATAGCCCTGTTGCTTCTTCTGGAAGCAGTGCTCCCAGGAAATGGGGCGTTTTAATTGCTCTGTATTCCCTCTGTGAAAAAGAGGCCACCTGCTCTTGAAAAGGCCCCAGCTGTTTTTCCAGACTGGTTTACAGGCTCATGGAATATTGACTCTTCCAAAAGTTTTGAGGTGACTGAATAAATCTCCTATTCCTGTCATCAAATTAGTTCCCATTTGATGTAGAGGAAGAATGTCCTCACACGTATGCCTTCAGACCATTATTAGGTACAAGACTGGAGAAACGGGAGGCCACCATTTTTGGCTTGGCTGCCATTAATTTGACTGGGAAAGAACCATCCAGGAGTCTCTTGTAAGGTTAAAAATTATGGGGAGAAATCTTTAAAATGCAGGTTTGGGTAGTTAGATCATTAACTAATTTATTTCTTAGCCAAAGGTCACTAATAGCATTGGAAAGCATTCCCCAAATATCTAAGATGCAAGTGAATGACCAAATCCAGGAGCAAAGCATCCACAGTAAAACCTTTTTAAAAAATTCTACCAATGTTTAGAATGGTATATTGTTAAATAGAAAGTTGTTGCTCCATCCTTACTAGAAGGATGGAATTACCCATGTGGACCAGACCTGGTAAAAGAAAGGCTTCATTTTGAAACGAATTAACAGAAGGGTGAGTAGGAGCAGGAAGTGACTCCATGGGTAGAGTGAGACTGTTCCTACAATATTTTATTTCCAGTTAGGTGACTTTGTTTTGGAGAGGGAAGGGTCAAAGAAGAGACTCAGCACACACAGATAGCTAGTGCCAGAATCTTTGATGCAGTTGTATAGCTGCCATTTAGTATTTGGGTAATCTATTCTCAAATCATTTAGCTATTCAAAGGTCACAAGGTAACAACTTTGGTATGAGGGTCCTAACAGATGCTTAAGTTTGGTGGCACTCAACAGAATTGTTTTTTCACATCTGCCTCACCCTGAATATCCCTGGAGTGTGAAGTGCAACTGGAAAAAAGTAGGTTGTGAGAGATCCTAAATAACCTTAACTGGGTCATCTCAACTTTGCTATGCAAATGCTTACTTTTTTGTTTCAGGTAACATCTATACGGCAAGAATATGAAACCAAACTTAAAGGACTGATGCCAGCATCCCTGCGGCAAGAACTTGAAGACACAATTCTATCACTAAAATCGCAGGTAAAGTCTTAGCAATCTCCTGTTTGTAAGTCTAAGGCAAGAGCAGCCTGAATGGGTAATTCATTGTCGTTAACATGGCATGAAACTACTGCCAGTTCTTTGAACAAAGTTTGCCTTCTACCTACATCTAGACTTAATTTCTGTTTTCTTATTAATAGAGTTCCAGCCTGTTTTTCACCCACAGTGGCTGGTTCTTGGAGTGCTTCATTATCTCTGCATAATAATGTGAGAGGTGGGAATAGTCTCTTTTGAGCTTGCTCAAAATTCCTGAAAAGTCAACAGTGTGGTCGCTGTTTTGTAATCGTTTGAACATATGGCTAATTGACATTATATCATTAACACAGTTAATTTGTTTAAATGCTGATAGTGTTTGTCCCATGAAGAGTCACAGGGGAGGGAGAACCGAGTGTGTCTGGGTTTCTGTAGCACAGCGTTGCCATCAGAGCAGAACGGTGCTTCAGTGCTCCGGCTGCCTCCATGTACCTTTGTGTGTGCGTGGAGTCCTGGAATAAAAAAGCTGGAGCCCCAAAATCTGGCTCAGTGGAGTTGCACATTTTGGCCCATTGCCGAATGTTGTCCAACAAGCCTTCCAGTAGTGAGACACAGGAATTCCTCTTGGAGCAGGAATCTGTAGGAGCCACTTGGGCTTTTCTTGGAGTAACCTGAAGTGCTGCCAGGCTGCCCTAGCTTTTCTTTCGGAAGAGAGGTTTTCAGAGCAAGAACATGTTGTTAAATTGATACAGCTAAATGAGTTCCCACTTTAAATCAGAAGTAAAGATTGCCTTTGTCATAGATGTGTTTGGTAAAATCATGGTTGGAAACGTGGCTATTTTATGGGCTATTCCGCCATAACTCCCTGTAATTTCTGGCACGTAAGACATAAAATGAAGCACCACTCATTAAGAAGAAAAGAGGATCTCAAATAGACATTCATGCTTTTCAGGAAAAATCTTGCCATTGATTTGTTTGTAGCCAAAATACTACATTTGGGATATTCCCCTCATGGTGTGATTCATAATGCAGTTTCCAGGAGAAAAAGTCCCACGTTCCCGCCTGCTACTAGTGACGTGGATTTTATAGGTACTTTTGCTGCCCTAAGGTATTCCTGTTGGCAGACCTCTTCTGCCAGTGGTGTCATTACAATGTAACTAAACAAAAAGGTTCCGGATTTACATAGGAAACCTATTTCTGGTTACTAATAAGTGTAGCTTATTGAATTATGCCTGGTCCAAAGCATTCCAGTAATGATAACTGAAAAATCCTCCACTTCCAGTGAAGAGAATTTGGAGTTAGATTTTTTAAAAATGAAACCCGATTTCCACCTGCAGGGCTTCTGTTTGCATTCACAACATTCAAAGCAGTGACAGTCACTCCAGCCATCTAAAAGTGGGTGTTGAAGCCAAAAAGCAGAGCTGGCAGCTGCCTGTGCAGTGAAATACAGTAGCCAGCTACAGAGTGTTCAGGAGGCAGGGCTCCCTTCCCTTCTGAAGCACAGGTGTCCTCTCCTTTGAAAATCGCTGGAATTCCTGCTTCAGAAAACATCAGACAGAAAGAGCTGTGGAATCCTTGCACCTGTCAGGGTTATTAATTGTTCCAAAGGAATGAGAGGGCTTGGCTGGGTAAAAGTACCAAGCAAGCAGCATTAACAATGAACAAATAGGAAACATTCACTTCTCAAACAAAGCTTTGCTTATGTTTAAAATATGTCGGCCTCCTCCCTTCGGAGTCTTTCAGTGTACTCTTTGTGTGCTGTCCTAGCGTGGCACCAGTGCATGTTATAACATGCTTGTGATTTTACCTCTCCAGTAAGGACAATTTGGCCACTTTTTCAAAAGGAGAATCTGAGGCAAATTCCTAAATATTGTCTGTGATGTTTCAGGATAAACACTGAAATTGTAGCACTCAAGGTTCTTACGCCCGTACTTAGCCCCTAAAGCATTGACTTCTTCGTAAACATCTTTTAAGGCTTATGTTTCAAAAGCAAACACGCCAGAAGAATGACTCCGATTGACTCTTTTTCAAAATGTGTACAATAAAGATTGTATATGTGAATGCAGAGCAGGAAAGGTATTTGCAGGGCTTGTGCTCGGTTGGTGCCTCAGCGCCTTTCCGTGCCAATGTGCCCAACAATGTGGGCAGGGAGTTCAGTCTCGAGATAACAGACAGCGATAACAGGCTGGCAATTACACTTCGACAATAAATAAATGTATGGCTGCCTCCAGAGAAATCGCATCCAGATCTTTTGTCTACAAGGAGCTCCTTTGTCATAATAACTTATTTTCTAGGTAAATTTTCTGCAAAAAAGAACATCCATCCTGCAAGAGGAACTGAGCACATACCGTACAAGAAGGTAAGCAGATCCTTCCTACTCGGATTGCAACATGTCGCACCTGGCATCAGGGAGTTGTAAGGTGTAGCAAAAATAACCACAGTGCCTTGGCAGTTTGAAAGGGGTTTGCTTTTCGGTAAACAGAGCCTCTTTAAGAAGGCGCCCACTTCCCACAGCCTCGGTGCCTGGCTGGTAGTATCAGAGCAAGATGAGAACGTGCAGGCAGGTTGCAAGCCCGGGCCTGGCCTCAGCGTTCATGATGAGAGAGTGGATCAGCGTGGAACTGCAGGTATGTGGAGGTACCGCCACCTCTTAGAATAAAGCAAGGTGATGCAATGTGTAATGCTGCAGATCGTATCTTCAAAGCACCGGATCTTCACCCACTTGAGCTTTACCTAGATATTTCCCTCATTATGAATATATTTCCACAAAGGTTGCAACAGCGACATAAGGGCACTCTGTACTCTTAAGAAAGAATGACTCACATGGGTGATTAAGTAAAAGGGACCTTTCTGGTGATGTCACAGGATTTTCACACTTGACGGGAACCCACTGATCCCTCACTATTTCTGCAGGCCAACCAGATATGTAAATTTTGCTTTAATTGAAATATAGGATGTTTCCATAGTTTGAAAGTAGGACTGTATCAGATCTTGCAACAGGCTGTTCCACAGATAGCTGACACATTCAACGTATATTACTGGCAATAGTGTGAGGTTAACCTGTAGATGAGATTCTGGCCCTGATTTGGCTGATATAATCTCAGCATATCGGGGCAAGTTAAGCATAAATCTCGTGCCTGCAGTCTGTTCCCATGCTCCTGGTGTATTCCCTTACTTAGTCATAGTTTTCCATTACATCTGAACAAACAATCAAAACACCGTTACCAGGCCCATACAAACCAAGATCTGAAATCATGGCCTGTTGCTTCCATTTCTAGTTCTGGGGCCCACAGTTTACTGCTTCGGTCATAATTTCCTGGGTTTAACATAGCTTAATGGCCAGCTAAATTAAACTCAGGAAATTTTCAGTTATGCACTGAGCATTTTAGAAACTCAGGAATTAAGGACTGAGGGAATAGAAATTGTCAATGGATGACTTTGCAGAACACTGTAGGAATAGACAGGGAGAATATTGCACACTTAGAAAAACTTGTGCACACACATGTAGAGAAAATGATAAAAAGCACAGTGATGGTGCCTTGCAGATCGTTGGTCTGCCCCTTAACTTGCTGCCCATGTCAGTGTAAGGGCAACAGTGTCTCCACGTCAAGGTATGGCAATATGTCTTTCAATGTTTGTGCAGATTAGCTCAGATCTAAAGAACGGCATTGTTAAGGCTGCGCCAATTTCCTCTCTCGCCCGCAGCACCTTCCACAGTGCTGTAGATAGCAGTCCACAGGGTTCCCAGTAGTCAGTGGGTGCTTTTCATGCCAATCGGGGCAGGGAGGAGAAAGTCCTCAAATGCCCCCAGTGTATGCTTGGCCTTTTTGGATCACACCTATTGCTTTTCTGCATGCAGGTCTCTGCATTAAACCTATGGCACTTTCCCAGATTGATAGGAAAACCCTTCAGTGCCCCACCAACTAGTGTATGACCCCTTTGGAGTGGGCCTCTGATCCTGGGAAGCACGAAAGAGCCTGACCGTGCTTCAGTGTTGTCAGTAGTCCAACAGAAATGTGTAGCTGATGGCCACATTTTATTTTTTTAGGTAGCTGCTGGAGCTGATGGGTTTGTTCACGAATCCAGGGGACTTCTTTCAGCAGGTTTGAAGATTTGGATCTTGTGAACTAATCTGAGAGATCAGTGGTGGTTTTGGTAAAGCAGACAATGCAATTAGACTCATAACAGCACATCCCTCATTCATAGCAGTATTTTAAGTTACCACATATTTGAATTATTTTATCATTATATTAGAGATTTTTATGCTTTTGATATATTCATTATCTGTATTTGTCAGTATACTTACTGAAGAAAATGCATTTTGTTTGCTCATACTGCTTTTGTTACTGGCTTTTCCTAATGCAATTTTATTCAACTTTTACACATGCTAAAATCACGTCTTTATTACAATAATCATTCTTATTGTCCAGAAGATGTTAAAACATATATTGCATTTTTCATGTTCATGTTACATAATATTAAAATATTTTTATATATTTTTGTTTCCACATTATTTTCATTATCAACAATATATCATTTGCTGCAACAGTGCCTGGCAAAGTTTGTGTGATTTTTTTAACTGATAAGTTCTCTTGGCATGGTGTATTTGGTAGGATACACTTTTATGACTGTGGTAACAACATAATTCCGGGGTGGGAACCTGTGACCCTTCAGGTGCTGTTGGCTGGGGCTGATGGGAGTTGGAATGCAATAGGACAGGTGGTCAGGGTTGATGGCAGAGGGCCACAGTTCCCTGCTCCTGCTTTTCTTTGTCCTGAGTATTGTTTCTGCCATTCAAATGAATGCTGAGTGTTTTGGTGAGGGATGGTAATGAAATGCCCGTGTCCGGAATGGATCTTAGTGATGCAGCATAGCAAGGCATTTTACGTCTACTGTACAGGATTGAAATTGAAGCTTTTCCACCCATTCTAAGAGAACAGAAAAGTATTTCTCTACTTAAGCAGAAACCTGCCTAAAGGTTGTATTTGCCTGAAGTGCTTCCCTTCCTCATGCCTTCTAATATGCAGTTTGGATTACCTGGCATGTTTTGGAAAAAGCCAACCGGAAAGGGAAGTCTTGATACTGACACTGTGCAGGGTTGCTTGCAGACTGTGAGGTGAGGCACACCAGCAACCAGAAAGACCTGTGATGCTGAGACAACATGGTGGTGCAGGAGGCATGACAAGAGGCAAGAAACAAGCAGCAGAGCAGGATACGGGTCAGGCAAGAGGCAGGCTGCGACAGCAAACAGAGGGACCCCTGTTGCTTGGGCCCATTCTGCATGGAAGAGCTTGCTCTTATCTAGCTCTTCCCCCAGGGCTCCCAGCTGGGATGGATCCCGTGCATACAGTGGCATTCTGGTTCTGGTCGCCAGAGCAGCCCAGATCCTGGCAGCTGCAGGGAAAAGGTTTTCTGTGTGAGGCTCACTCGGGAAGGGAGGTGCAAATACAGGCAGCAGTGAAATAGACAGGGAGCATTTGGTGCAGGTGGGAGGCAGGGGATCCGCAGGGGTGTCTTCAAGGAGCAATGCGGGCTGGCACAGTCCACTGTACAGTGTGTCACTGTCAGAGACACTGTTTTCATGATCACAACGTGGCTATCAAGCCACTGTGGCTTGTGAATTCCACCATCCTTGCCAGCCAGAAATCCCCACTCACCCTCACTGACACAGCTTGTCATGTCATCCAAAGCTGGAAAGCATAGCTGTTGTGGGCTTTTTGAGGGTTATGGACTGCCCCCACCTGGTCCCAAAACAAGCCACGCTGCTGGGAGTTGGCTGCCATGGCAAGCTGCTGCGCTGAGGGCCACTGGGGATGCCTGCTGGGCACACATGGCAGCAGAATAAGCCCAGCTGCATTGCGTGATTCTGCTCTCCAGCAGAGGGTGGCTTGCCTAAGCCCCACTGGCGAGTTCTATAGCAGAGGTGAGAGTCAGACTTCATGGTTTCGATATTGTTAGAGTATATGGATATTTTCTTCAGAGTATCCATTTTCAGATACTCTGTGCTAAGGAAAGTATATTAGCCTACCTCATATATATTAATTTCAAGAAGCACAATGGGAATTAGAATAACTTGATGTTTATCATATGAACTCTGGAGTGGTCTTTCTAGTTCTGCCAGTGATTCCCTTCTGTACCGCTCTGCAACCGATTGGTCTTCCCGTCGCCTCAACGTCTCCACATCTGCTTAATAGAACCGTGGATTGGTTGTATCTTTATCTCAGCGCTAAGTGTCAATGCCTCATCACGGGCTTGAAGGTGAGTGCTGTTAAGAGCACTATGAGCAGGATGGTAAAAGACTAGTATCAGAAATAACCACTAGAGCATTATGAGCAAGAAAGGAAGAAAACTGTATGGAACTTGGCTAGGAGGCCAAATCTTACCAACACTGCATGATGAAACATAACAGGTGGCTGTTAGAGCTCTTCCTCCTCCTCCTTCTGTAGACATACCTTGGTTTTCTACCATCTGAATTTCTTTGTGGTTACTTTGATCTACCTACCAACACAAAAAAATATGTGGCTTTGTGAGGAGGCCACTAATTATTTTTGCATCATGTCTTAGGAGTCTGGAGGTCAAATATGTGAGAACATTAAATAAGGTGTATGTGGAACAAATATCTGAAATGCATGACACAAGCAGCGTTAGAGATAATCTCTCCAAAAACTGGAGTGAAGAAGAATCTTTCACCTACACAGAAAGATTTCCAGAGGTGTTTGCGCAGCTTCATGGCTACACCAATAATCCACAAGTCGCATAAAAGGAAGCCTTTTCCCAGGGCACTCAGGTGCTGGTGGATTCCCAGCAGCTGCACTGAGTTTAGATATTTCCACATATAAACAGTGAGGGTATCTCAAACATATCCTATTATATGGTAATAATTATGTTGCTCAGACTTTGTGCTGAGGTTGGCCCAACCAAGTGACCTGGTTCACATGCCATCCCCACCATAGCCAGTTGTGGGCTGTCGTGTCATCTGAACCCAGCGTGGGTTCTTCAGCAAGCTGCCTTGAGAACCTGTGCCTTATTGTTGCCTGTCATGACTTGTTGGGTTCTCCAATTCCAGCAGGATAGTTTTATCATGGATTGTTGAGAATGGCTACGGAGCCACTCTGCAAAAGTGGCAAAAATTCTTGCTTGCCTTTGTGGTTTCACCAGTGCCTGCCCTTTCAACAGTGCTGAAACAGCACATTAGAAAGATTGTCACTTGCGACCGTCGTTTTTTTTTGAGATCTCACAAATCTGCAACTGGGACAATACTTTTTTTTAATGGAAGAGAAAATTGTGCCAATTTAAGGACTGGGAAGTTAATGGAGCATTAATTTGTACACATGTAGTAATGGAGCAGTTGATGCAAGAGCACAAAGTTCCACTCATTTATTTACTTTCTTACCAGTAAATTTGACTAAATTTTTACTCTGTTTACTTCACAGCCATTAAACTTGCCTAAAGTTCTGTGTTGCTGTTTTTTAAACTGCCAGGGAAGCACTGTGCTTGCAGCAATGAGTGCTTCAAGAAAGGAGGGAGTTATTGTCTCCTCTTCGTGGAGCAGCAGAGAGTCAGGGAAGTGTTGAAAGGGTGGAATGTACTGAGAACTTGAAGTGAAACACTAAAAACTGAGAGGATTACATTCCTAAGGGGGAGATATTCTGCCCCCCTGCTGCTCCCCACTGTTGGTGTGCCTTCTGTTGCCACTATTTTCTCCTTTAACCAGTGCTTTTCATTTGGCAGCTAGGCACTTGGTCAGCAGAACTTACCCTATTTCATCTCACCGTGTCCTCTCTTTGACAGCTAAACAGGCAAGGAAATTGACTGGGCCAGATTACATACGTAAGATAGCCATAGGTATGCATTTGTGCACCTGTGAAAGACCATCCAAATCAAAAATGCAATTTTTAGGAGAAAAATACTACCCTAGTTGTGCTTTTTTGAGGTTCTGGGTTTTGTTTTTTGTTTCTAATGGCCATGAACAAAAAGGGATAAGAGCATGTGGGGAGAAATGAGACAGGTTCTGCTATGAAGGACACCGAGACATAAGGGCTGGAGAGCCAAGGGGAAAAGACAGGGAGAACAAGCTAGGGAAAGCCTGATCATCTGCTGAGCTCACCATGGGCTGTTCAGCAAATAAACAACCCACCACAGCTTATTTGCAGGGTGACTCAGTGTGACATGCAGATCATCCAATGCATAGACCAAAACTTGGAACTCTATAGTCTTCCAGTTGTTATTAAGACTTTGGCGGCAACAACACTTGCAGCAAGATACAGCCGCCTCTCTGCACAGGCTAAGCAAGCATATGGGCCATATAAAATGGAACTCCTGTGAAATCATAACAGAG